CAATCCTTATGTCAGCAAGTCGCCTCAGCGAGGATCAAAGCTTATGGAAATGACTAAGCTCATGCGCGCGCTGTCGACGGCTTCTCAGAGAACTAACTCTCCGAGGATCAGCTATTTCAAAAATTCTGACCAGTGTTATCACAAGAGTGCTGAGTTGTGGGCAAAAGTCAGACCACGGGCTGTATTTGAACCCGCACCTTCCGCTTTCCGTGCGGTTCCGTGCCCTATTAGGCTACTGCCACCCTACCCTCTCAGCTCAACGGCTATTTGTGCCATAGCCTTCGAGCAATGACACAAATAGCCATTGATTGTGATCACGCGCGTCTAACCATGGTGATTTCGTGTAAGTTCTGTCGTCCATTCATAGCAGTTACTGTTTCAAATAACAGTACAACCCAGATAACGTGGAAAGTCCAACCTCGAAACTTTTTTGGGATGCGCCATGTGTTCGACTTCCACTCAGAACCGTGGAGGCGTTTGAATACGCCGGCCTTGCATAGTGATGCGCTGGAGTCAACCAATGTTCGTCGTCTAATTACCCCCAGGAAAGCACGTCACAACCACCAAAAAGCGACCCCGAGGAAGAAAAACTCAGCGAACCTGGATGCGCTCAAATTCCCAAGCGCAGTATTATAAGCCACTACACCGCTTCAAAATCTTCTAAAGTAGGTAAATCCTCCTATCAAATAGTTTATTCGGGTCTACAATGTTTCTGGGCTATTCACTGTCACGACTGCACGCGCGTCATTTTCACCGCCTCAAGATAGGCAATGAATATAGCTTTTCGCCGACTTCTCACTCACCATTTCCAACGACTATTCCACCTACACCTTAGAATGCTGTTCAGCATTTAATCTTCCCGAAAGAGTCCATCAATCCAACACCCCGCTAGGTGTTTATACTTGAGAAAAAAATGTGCCAGATTTCGGCCTCAATGAGTGTAATCGTTGGATCCCTAGCCTATAAGGGGGAAGTGCAAGTTCGAGTCCTGCTGGTGTTAAGTGTTTTGCCCGTATTTTGCTATTCTCGTGGCAACTTTCACATCGCAACTTGCAACTACTTATAGTGGGTATCTTAATAAAGCAAGCCGATCACACCTTTTCTAGCAACGAGATCAGCATCAATGACATGCATTCCATGGTTACGGAGCATTTCTGACACAGAACTCTTGCCAGTGGCAATACCACCTGTCAAGCCCACGATCACCATTTCTAAACCATTAATCGTTATGATCACAGAGCTTCAGAAAAAATCTCGACGCAGTTCGACTTAGGAGGAACATTTAGTCTATTCTTGTCAACCTGCCGGGCCAACTTCTAAGGACATGCAAACTCGTTCTAGGCAATTTCGTGAGCAGACGTGAACCGTTGGAAGCCTACATAATTGTACGAGACATGTCGGACCATCGGACCCATCTGTTGAGACCTGTAAGCTCTCACCGAGCCGAAAAACGGTAAGGGTTGCAATCCCAAGCCATTTTTCCGTTTTTTCCTTATGGACGGTTATTCAAGGCTGTTAAGAAGGAACGACTGTGAGCCGAAGTGATGGGCATTTTTCGCATTACCAAGGGAATGTGGAGTGGCAGTGGTGCGTATGTCTGCTTTGCGCACACTCTCTTGAAGCACGGTCCGCGAACGGAGTCGAGGTTAACGTGGCGTTGAAATTATGATAGAAGAAATTGCTGGAAGAGCTACTCGTCGGTGAAGAATAATTGCTCAAGACGTCGGAAACGGCCTCTGATAGGAACCCGCTAGCCTCAAACAATTGTAACAGGAGGAAAAGATCCGCATGTTTGCGACAAAACTAGTCAGCTGATCAGAGCCCCAGACCCCATAAATGACAGAAGAACATTTCCTTTTAAGCGTTACTCGTCCGTAGCACCGATTCCCGTGGGAAATGGACTTTACAGGAGTCTCGTGAGGTGGACCAGGAATGAAAGGATTCTTCAGCTGAAGCACCGATTCACGCCTTTGTGCTTCCACGCCTTTGACTGACAACTTCCTGCCACGCAGTGGAACAAGTGTTGTCCATCGTGGAACCATCCTATCCCCCAGTGCGTTTTTAAACTTTCATAGGTCACGCGGACCATTTCCTGGGAATTCAGTCTTTATGGGAACATATACACTCAAAATTAATTTCAGCGTCAAAAGCTTTTTCGACTGTGGACAGCTATCGGTCAACTCGTATTCCAAGTAGACACATATGGCAAACCAGAAGCGTTTCAGCTACAGCACCTCCCCCCTTTGGAGCAGTCTCACGTCCTTCCTAGAAAGTATGTTCCCCCATAGAGACATCCGCAAATTTGTTTGAAAAGGTCCGCAGCAGATATGGAGAACGGATTCTTAATCACCATTCGAAGGCACATCAACCGGTACTTATTTCATTTCGAATGTTCCTGTCATCTACCCCCTGGGAAGCCGAGAAGGAAGCTCCAGAAGGCGCAACAACCTTTCATTCCGAAGATGAGTTCCATTAGAATAAAGTTCCCAAACATTCTTTCCTTTACAGTAGTTTACAAAAGACCCCTTTTCCTAGTTTACAAAAGACCCTTTCCCTCCCTAAGTCGAACTGTGTCAAAATTCTTATAACTTTCCAGCCGTCTAACTATAAGTGATAAGATGCATGCAACTAACGGTTCAGTTCCGTGCGAAAAACACCAAAAAATATTTGTTATATTCATTTTCTTCGCAACAATGTTCAAGAAATTCACTTTGTGATGAGGAAGACAATCGAGGAAATCCAAGGATACAATAGCATTCCTCTCATTAAAATTTCACCTCCATTAACTATACATATACATACAGACAGGAGGCGCACAAACGGTGAACCAGACACATACAATCGCTACATGGTTCACCCGCAAGGAAACAAGAAGAGGAGAAAAAAAATGAAGAAAATATACGGAACATCTGCTGCTGATTGTGATGAATGAACGGATGGATGACAGTAGGTAATAGAAACAATCCAAAAGAAATTATAGTAATTTATATTTGTCAATCACTACAGGAACATTTTTGGGTAGCAAAATAGGATTTTTGGGAGGCATGAAGGCCATTTGAAATGCCATGAAAAGAGGATTTGGAGACTGGAGTATCAGGACGAAAACCACGGATCACCACAAAGTGGATGATCCGCAAGGCTTAAGGTATATATATTGTGAAACATGTAATATATAATTGTAGTACAAAATGATAATAATAACTCATAATGAGGTAATTACGAGATGCTTCTTCCATAGCAAGGCGAAAGCGAATTCCGCAGAGATTCGATCGAAGCATCCACGTGCGAACAATGTTTGTATGTATGAACGACAGATGAAACAGACGAACCAACTGACTGACTGACTGATTGACTGCCTGACTGAGATTGGCGCGTCAAATCAGAACCCCGGGTCACTTTCCAATACCACCGGCGCCTTGTACCGAATTCGATCCACTTATCGGCGGCATCATAAAACGAGCCAATAGATTCGCCGTTGAATTGCCAGCCAAGTATTGTTGTTGACTATGTTGCGCTTGCGACAACAAAAATGATGTTATCAGGGGATCCTGAACAAACCAGTTGATTCAAAGAATGTGTAACGGTGCAGTTCGGCGACGGGAGGGCAGGGGGGGGGGGCATTTGGCAGTTTCGCTGCCTCACTATGCACCGTTCACAAGTCTTACTGTGGTAGAACCTGTAAACACTTGTGAAGCTGGAGCAAGCCACCATGGTAAATGATATTTCTCTGATATTTCGTTGCTTTACAAGAGCTGACAGGAATCATTTTGTAGCTCCACAAAAATACACAGGTCTCTTTCGATCGCTCGATGTCGATGGGAAGTAACAAAAGGGCAAAATGCTCCCCCCCCCCGTCGCCGAACTGCGCTTGAATAATTTCGAATGAAAGCGAGAACAGTACTTACCATTGCATTCCCTGTGCCAAGCATTTGATTACTCCTGCCGAGAAAACCGCCATTTATCAACGGATTTAAGGCGGCTAGCCGTTCCGGACTGATGTTAGCGGTCAGCTCTGCAGACACCACAGGTGCAGACGAAGTGGCAGTCATCATTTGCGGTTGTGACGTCGACGCAGTGGTCAAAGTCGCTGTTGAAGGTGTCCCAGGAACAGATGAAACGCCAGTCGTGGTTCTGAAATTCCAGCATACATCAATCGATTGGGACCCGTTTTTATTAGCACAGCTCATATCGCGCCTACACAAATAAGATCGCTCGGAACGAATTCCAAACGAATGGATTTGTCAATATGCCAAAAAGATTTGTAAGCATGCCAAATTTTGAGCATTCGATCTTTCAGAGTGAAGAAATAAATAGAAAATCGAACATGAGCAGCGCTATTCATATTTCGCTGTTTTCAAGTTCTTGAAAAAGGGCAAACCATGAGGTTTAAAACGCTGAAAAATCTGGGAATTTGGCAAATAGGGGAAAACCTGGCTAGTTCATCGTAGGACGTTTCACCAAGCCCGCTTTTGTAACTGATTTATTACTATTCTATATGAAATTCACATTACTATTCACTAACGTTTTTACGCACGAATGAATACATGATACCATGTGGTTCATCACAATTTACGGTGGTCGGTGCGGTGGTTTGACTGTACTAAACAGTACGCTTGAACTTTTCACTTTTTCGCAACGCGACACAATCTGGCGTCAAGCGCTCTCATAAACTTTGTTGGCACGTATTCATAAAACCCTGTCTCAGACGGCCACGTCCACATTTCAAAGCTATTTATTTGGTTTTCTGTTTTATTTCCGTTTATCTTTCTTTCGTTAGCTCACATTAGCTTACTTTCGTCCTGTCTTTCTTTCTAATTCTTCATTTATTCTTTGTTCTGTGTCTTTGTGCACATGTAGACACCAAGAAAAGCCATATTTTCCGACATTTTTGACTCCTCTCCAAGCGACTCCGCCTACTTTTTGGATTACTTCGGATTCTACTCCTTTCTCTTCCTGAAGGTAACACCTATCTTCTGCCATATTGCGCACAACCTTGATTCCTTGCCAAAAATGGCTTGGATGAGCCACGGATAGTGGACAATCACACCAATTCAAGACTTGTGACTAAAATGCTCAGAAAAGCTCCTGTCTGAAAACACACCCATTTTCAAGAGGTACCACCTTTCAAGCAGTACTCGTCGGGCTATTTTTGTTCCCAATCTAGAGTCTCGAATGCGGACCCGGTTCTAACCATAAGACACGTCCTACGCTGAGGTTACCCAGCAAAGGGATCGTGTTTGATCGCCAGAGGGAAGAGGGTTCGTATCTGCCTCCGTGAGAGAGATATTTTCCGGTTATTGAATTTTCTCTGGTTTTTCCCGTCGTACCAGAGGAAACTGAGGGGAACGGGGAGAGGGAGTGAAGGATCATATTTTGCAAAATTATTCCCCAACAACAGGAAGTTCCCTGTCCGCTTGGATGTCTCCGAGGCAATAAGAGGTGAAAGCCAATCGCTTTAACACACATCTTCAATTCACAGTTCGAACCGAGAGTGCTTGACACTTTGAATACGAAAAGCTATCAAATCAGTTGTGAATCACATGGACCTCCCCCTTCCCCATGATGGAACAATGAAAATCGGGATGAAATAATCGATCAATCAAATCGAAGAGCCCAACCCTATCAATGCAAACTGGTGCAGCCCAGTGCAGTATGGCGTTGCCCCAAAAAAATCACTTTATCACCTATGTGTTTGATAACGAAGCCACACCGCTAAAGATTACTCGGCGAATTTGAAATGTTTAGAAGGCACCGAAAACCGTTCAATTCAGAAGATAACCCCACAAACTACTTTCGAAAAGAGCCACACGTGTAGAGAGACATTTTTCCAATCAAAGTAAATGAGGTAGTCACCAGAAAAGCGCATAAACTCATAGTTTTAAAGTGGAAAGCGTGAATATCGAACCTGTTTTGGACGTGAGGAACGAAGCCTGGACCACCATGCTGAGAAGCGCCGAACGAGGAGGTAGATGGCACGGCAGAAGCTTGACTAGGCGGTCGACCGGTCGGACGTGGAGTTCCACTGGCCAGTGACCGCAACTGAGTTAACGAGTCTTCCACTCCTGGTGGCGGCACGGACGTCGATGCCACAACTATCGGGGAATGATGTGGACTGACAATACTCGTCGGTACTGCTCCTTGGGGATGGTGGTTTATTGACGGCGCTTGTTGCAATAGCTGCTGCTGTTGTTGTTGCGCTTGCTGTTGCTGCTGTTGCTGAACCTGCTGATGCTGTTGCTGGGCTTGCACCTGTGCTTGTTGCTGTTGTTGTTGCTGCTGCTGGTGTCCGCCAAGCGGTACAGATAACCGTGACGTAAGTGCAATCAGATGTTCTCGCCGCCGATTCAACTGCACTAATTGTTCTTCCAGGCGAATATTCTCCGATTTCAGTTGATGCAAACAGGACAGCAGCTGAGCCACGTCGAATTGGGCTTGTGAGATGAGGAACTGCGATCCTTGCTTCCCACTGTCGCTCCAACAGTTGCTCCATTGACGAGGGCAGGGTGGAATTTGAAGGTCCCACGTTGCCTTGAGGTCGAGCAGCAGCCAGTGGACTAGTGCCAATCAGATTGGAAGCGGCTGGTTGAGCTGAAAATAGCGAATTACTCAGAATTCGTTGAAATTCGCAATAATTTTAAGAATGCTGTCTGCGGTAATCAACTGACCTGTGACAATCGGCTGTTGCGAAACAACGGGGATATCGTGTGACGTCGACGGGGTGGCGTTGGTTGTAACCATGCGACGGCTCTCGGTGGTCACAGTTCGATCAGCGATTCTTTCCCGATGAAAATCAGAGACCGTTTCCGACACGATTGGACCGACAAGATCGCGTAATGCTTTCTCGCTTTTCGTCCGATGGTTAGCTCGGGGACGTTTCGCTTTTTCAGGGTACTCCGCCTTTGGCTCACGGGTTCGTTTCACTAAAACATAGGCATATTGGCAGCAGTGAGAAAAACGTCGGAAGAAAATGAGAAAGGATCCGTTAATTTAGAGGAGTTATAGCAAATCTGACCTGCGGCTACTTTCGCTGCTGCAGGAGTAAGAGCACCAGATGGAATTATGGCCGAGTCTACGGCTACTTTCTCTTCGTGATGACCGTTGACGTCCGCCACGTAGCCCGTTGCTACACCTAACCTATTGTGGTTCGTCAATTCCGCAGCCTATCAAGTATAACAATTAGGTGAAAGTAATGGAAAAGAGTCAGCTTCATCGACCCACCTGAACTACGGCGGCGTTCACAAGGGCGTTAAAATTGGCAGATGGAGGTCCGTTAAGTGCATGATCTTGTTTGACAACTAATACAGCTCCACCCCCACTCGACAGTGGCGGTGTCGCATCCAGGGCGACCGACGACCTACTCGAAGTTGTTAAGGGAGGCGAAAAGTTATTGATTAGATGCGAATCTTCCGAAGATTGCGCAAGGCCGATCACCGTACCCACTTGCTCGGGCCTGAAAAAAAAACACTATTGTGATAAACGACATTTCAATCGGTAATACTGTAACATCATTGATCGAAATTAAACAAAACAAATGACTGTAAAAAGGAAATTGTGGGCGCTATTCGGCGACGAAGGAGCAGGACATTTTGCACTTTTGCTACTACCCATCTACGTGTAGAGCCGCCATCTAGAGAGCTATTTCATGAGCTTACAAGAGTTGACAGGTTTTACCATGATGGCTCGACGAGCTTGCTCCAGCTTCACAAGAGTTCACAGGTTTCACCAGAGTGAGACTTGTAAACCGGAACTAGTGAAGCAGCGAAGTGCAAAATGCCCCCCCTTGGGCGAACTGTGCCAAAATGTGTTCAATCAACGACACATACAAATTCATGTGAATTCAAATCAAACCGTTTTAATGATGACCTTGGGATGGGATCGACGAGCATATGACCACTATTGTTGCTGTTCGGTGGCGTCGGCTCGTACGGCACAGAACTTTGCGACGACGACGACGGATGTGCCCGAATGCGGCACGGTGGCACAACTTTGATAGCTGGATCGGCTGTCTGCAAAAGATCCCATGAGTAAGGTGGCACAATGAGGGGTGCCTACGGAGAGTAAACGGATCAACGAGCATTAGCGGTTACTATCAACGAAAACAGCCACACAGTCTTCAATAGATCGCCATGAAGAACCCGCTACCTCTCAAGATTTTATGTCTCTCTATTTCCTTATCCCATTTTCTTACAGCCGGATCTCTGCCTTTACCTTTGATAGCGACCATGAGGCCGCGTTCATACTGTGCGAATGCGGAAAAATCGTGATTTGGGAGAATCCGCTTATAGTAAAAACTTGCGATTTCGAAGAAAGGGCGACAAAGGAAAGCTCAGTAATCGATCTGGAAAATCTGCGATTTAAGAGTCGGTGGTAAAGTTACACTTTTTTTCCGATGAAAATTCTTGGCAAAAACGCGCTGTCTGAAAGATTAAACGGAAATCGGTTGACTTCTCCCCCAGCGAATCAGCATCGCCCATATAAGAGCGGATTCATCTGAGCGACACGCACACTTTCCTTGTCGCTGGTTCTCCAGAAACAGAGGTGATAGTCTCGGTCGCAAGCATGGAGGATTAACTACTTTGTAAGCTTATGAATACGAGAGCAAAACGAGACCTGCTCTCACTAAAGCTACGGTCCCACTGGCCACGGCAACGTCCAAATTTCATTTCAGAAGGCATCCTGGTGGCGCAGTTGTTCTGCTACTAGCTCTCCCCATTGCGAACGCTGAGAATGGGAAGATAATGATAACAGCTGGCAGAACGAAGTGGCAAGAGAACTCGTCCCATCACGCCGCCATCATGCGTGCAAGCGCGATTCAGCTTAGGTTCTGTATGGAGTACCTCCGGCGTGGGTTTTCTCGTTTTTGTTTTTCTCTTCACTGCTGTGTTAAATACCCTGCCATTTCAATTTAAAACGCATATCCCAGCAAAGTCAAACGTGGGAAGTGCCTTTAATGATCAAGTGATCAGTGATCAATCTGTGACACACTGCGGTACTCTCTTTCGGTTGTAGTAGCCGCTCTTGAAGTCTGAACCGCCCTACCAGTAGTCGAATGTCATCACTAGGAAAATACGTTGAGAAATAGAAGGAATCGGATTCAGAACGGCAACAGCAATTAAATATGAGAGAGAAAATCATGAAATTGACATTTAAAAAAAATTGAAGCTAAATCGTGGAATGCTGTCGAGCAGCTCAAGATTCGGAAGTGAGGTAACATCAATGCAAACGAGTTCAAAATGCAATCAATTTTTCAGGCATATGGATTAGACAAAAAAGAACAGGTATACTTGTAGGGTTTACAAAGAGTATTATTGGGCGGAGGCCGTGCAGGGCAAGAAGTATCCCCTACAGGGAACACGGTTCGTCGGTAGAGTCACGGATCGCATTCCGCCCGGTCCCGCTAAGCCCTCCACCTCGCCAAAGCCGATTAGTTAATACCAGACTCGAGGAAGGATAAAAAAAAACACAGATTACTGAAAAGGCTGGCTTCCGCATGTTATTATGTCTATCGTCTTCAATATGCCACTAGCTTTTCCACTTGTAGTGAAACGCACGGCGCATTCCACACGAGGGTAATAACCACTCAGTAAATGGAAGTGAATGAAAATTTAAAATCCTCAAAAAAGGTAGTGAGTGGAGGAAACTGACAAGGGATGGCAGAGCGTTTCTACAGCCAAATCTCATGTTCTTCTCCGACGTTTGACCTTTGTATTACTACGCTGTATCAAAGAACAATTCAAATAGTCTCAGCAACATGGACGAGTTCTAATGCGATTCCCATTGGTGGAACGCACTTGTTTGTAGGTGTTCCACATTGGAGACTGATACGTGCTGCATTAGCAGAATTGATGAAAATGATAAATTGAATCGCAGTTCAAATTTGTCATGTTCCTATCCTGTGAGAGATGTCCATAAACGACAGTGCGTCTCTGAGTTTATCACACCCATCACAAATCAATTTTTCACAGTGGAAGAAATAATAGCCAAAGATCACGGCGCAAAATATTGGAGAGGGTATGTCCATAAACGACAGTGCCTTTCTGAGTTTATCACACCCATCACAAATCAATTTTTCACAGTGGAAGGAATAAGAGCCAAAGATCACGGCGCAAAATATTGAAGAGGATACGGCAGTACAATGATTCTTTACCTTAACCTCTCCATAACCAGGACGGAGCTCTTGGTTTTGCTCCTTAATGCTCATTCCTCTGTGAAGTCCCATCTCCCGGATCCTTCTTTTGCCCCATTCGGGTCACTGGCGCTCACCCAACCTACGCCTTTCCTCAAGCCTTTGAACAGAAACAGAACAAATAGAAGACGATCAACGATCAAGAGTACAATGATCTTCAGTGGCATGTAGCTATCGACCTGTTATTTCTATGTCTTACAAGGTTCATTATAACGCATTGTTCACGGTTGCACGACTTTTCGACCAAATTTTCGCTGTCAAGGACCTGAGCTGGCTCAAGAGTTCTTGCTTGTAATCTAGAGGGCCAAAACTTTTATTTTTATACAGCGATTGATCTATCGCGGTACAATGTTTCAGTCGTCTTTCAACCAAAGATTTCGTGCAGCGAAGATTCCTCCATAGCAGAATGGCAGACGTGGCCAAAGTAATAATAAAAGTCGTGTGGACTGCCGGTTATCAGGAATGGGTCTGCATTAGTGAGAGCATGGGTATTTGGAGAAATTTGGGGATGAAGAGAGGATTTTTTCAGCGTACTATTCACCCTCTGTAGAACCACACCTCTTTCTTCCTAATGAATCAATGGGATTCACCCCCTCCCCCCCCCCCCCCTTTCAGGTCATATAGTTGTGAAAGCAATCGTTAAAACTGGTTTCTCAACTATTCTCACTTTGTTCTCAATAAATAATCGAAAAATCAAAATATGAGTTTGGATGCTGGGAAACTTTTTCAAAACAAAATATTTCAAGTGGTAAAATTAAAAATGGCTGAAAGATGTGGTTTTACCTCTTTTTGTCTTGATTCGCTGCTGATCAACCTCTTATAGGGGTGCGGCATGCATCTGCTTCCATTCAGAATCGCAGCGGCTTACTGAATGCTATGTGGCCCATACAATGACTTGCGGGGGCCAGCTGGTGTACAAGTCAGCGTTCTTATCCTCCCACACGGATGTGGTTACCGGACCGCTACCAACCCCCTGAGGGCTAGAAGGATATGTTGGTGTGGCGGGAGCGCTATCTGCGGATTTGCAACCCGAGGCGCGCCACAGAGAAGGTCCTCCTCGGATAATGTCATAAAAGTTATATTAGCATATAATGTTAGGTTGGTAATATGGAACTTAAGAAAGGAGTTTTCAGTTCCTTTGTTCAACAAGATGAGAATGAACCATGGCTTTTTACATAAGTTACCGCGTTCGACAGTTAGCGCGTTCGACGCAGAAATGACGTCGTCGAATGTCCGTCAATTCGGGCAATATCTTCATTACTTACTGCATTTCTCCAGATCGATGCGTATAGAATGTTTTTCGTCAGTTCTTCAAATTTACATTTTTTTTTCAACTCTTCATCTTCACTGATGCAATGTGTGAAGTCAATGCCCATCAGCTATTACGTGAAAGCTGCTTCAGTCCAAGATATTGCCCACCTTTGGAGAGTAGCTCCTCACAGTCCCTCCAGTGGCACCCCTCTCCTGCCATGACCATATATGTTTTCCGCTGCCTGTAAAACTTTGTCCAGCTTCTCTCAGCATACCGCCTACAACCTACTACGTAGTGCTGCCTTCAGAGACTCGCAATCCATTTGGGATCGAAAAACAAACGCAAAAGTGCAAACGAGGAAATATGCGATATGGCCGATGTTCTCGCATCCAACAACGTCCCTCCATGTCAATTATTCATTAAAAACGGGACAAACGTGCAAAGCATGCAAGATTTCATAGGTTCCTATCCAGGGCACTCTCTGCCGCTAGTACGCCCGAAACGCTTCCTCACCTTACCTACCATCTTACTGACTTTCCTCATGTTCCTACCACATTTTCCCCATTTTTCCAGAAATTTTCCAGTTTCTCCTCGAAAAACTGCCGTCAAGCGGGAAAGGTATGTAGTACTATATTGTATGTGAGACGGGAGCAGCCACGGAAACTCAATAATCAAATTCTCTCTCTCTTCTCTCCAGTGACCAAATAAAACCCCACCTGAAATTCCCCAGCGTACGACCGGCCCTGTCCCTATCCTTTCGGTCGGAAATTATTCCAGGAAATCACTCCTATGTCATTCTAGACCAACCTAATATAATTCTTAAGTCTTTGTTATGTGTTGCCTTCAAAAAAAAAAGCGAAAATGTAGCAAAGACCATTCAGCAATCTGCGTATCCAGTCTTTCCCGAATGCTGTGGCATTAGCAGCCAGGTACCAGGAGCGGAGATCTCAATGCACAATTATGGAGTCCATAAACTGAGCACATACGAATGCCCGCAGCGGTGTAATGATGCCAACATAGCGCAATTATAATCTTAATGTCGAAAGCAAAATTGATAGCAAGAAAAACCTTTGTAAGCCTTGAAAAAGACTAACGCTAGGCCGTTCCATATAAGCACTGAGGAGGTTGCTCTATCAATTTGAACATCACAAAATGAGCCTTATTGTTCGCCATGCAAAATGAGGTCAGGAGCATTCCCAGAATGCTTTTCTTGGTTCCAAAGGATAAACGATAAAGCTTTCGGCTATCAGTCTTATTTTGAGACTAGGCCGTGCACTCCACTACCTTTCAGAGCTAAGATGACCTGCACAGTGAGTTGCTAAGCCAACCGCTATCCTAGCCGGAGTTTTTATCCTCCCTAGACGAATATAGTAGCGATTTGCTGGATCCCGAAGAATGGAAGGCTTAATAGGCGCGATTGACTCGGAGTGTGCGTGCGAGGGTGGCACTGCACCTCTTGCCGACAGGGCACGTCCTGCCGTTGGGGAAAATTTTCCAAGATACGAATCCCCTAAATTTTTTCCTCTGGAGCGATGCCTGATCTCCATCGCTATCCCACCTCCAAGAGTGACCTCCGATCCCCATCCTACCTCCCAGAGTGACCCACTAATCCCCATCCCCCATCCTAATACCTACCAACTTTCTAGATCCTTCCAACATCCTACTACCTTTCAGCAGTTTTTTTCTCGAAAC